AGCTTTATCTGCGGCCTGGATATCGTGTCAGTCAAAAGCAAATGTGTATGCCAAAGAGTTACGCACCTGTAGACGAATGATTAGGCCATTCTTCATAACCAACTCGAGAGTACGATCGATGTCCAGGTCCTTCGTAGCTCCGTCGTTGCGCATAGAGTCGTCGACCTCCTCGTCAAAGTCCACATCCGAGCCTTCTTCCAGGTCTTCATCAGCAGGACTGGCGCCCAACTGGGCTTTGCGGACTTTGACAACATCTGCCAAGCTGATGTAGCCGTCACAGTTGAGCAGGTTCTGCTCTTTGCGGGTAGCTTCATCTGCTGCATCTTCATCATGCAGACGCCTGGCTTCCGTCGTACCTGAGTGACCCTCCATCAGCCACTCAATCTGCCCATCCTGGAGGCCATAAGGGCTCACAGCCCAGCTCTCTGGTACCGCGTCTTTGACCGCTTGCGCTGTCGGCACATTGGCATTTCCAGACGCAGGTAGCCTCGGAGGCGGAGGTGGGGTGACCTTTGTGGGTCGTGAAAAGACGAGATACTGATCGTGGCTGGCAAAGTAGAGCTGCTTGTGGTACATAAGACCTAGTCGCTTTGCCCGTCCTCGCTGCCCTGTCAGTCGGATGAGAAAACCTTCGACGGGAACCGGTTCAGTCAAGGTCTTGTGCTTCTTCCTTGTCACTGCAGTTGTAGGATAGTGTGTCTTGGGCCTCAGTTCCAGTTCGTGCGACTTGAGCATAGCTATCGTGCCGTACATCTTCCGCTCGTTCGCGCCATGTATCCACTCAAGCCGATCATAGCGCTTCCAGGCGAGACCTATGCGCTGGTCCTTGATCCACGATTCCAGCACGTCAGCCCACTCCGGTGCATCTTGCAGTTGATCTAAGCAGCGCTTGATCAGATCTTGAGCAACCGCCTGTTCCTCTTGCATAGTCCTCAGCAGAGCCTCTTCCGTGTTCTCTGCATCTTGAACTTTGTTTTGTGATGCCTCTAGCTTCTCGAATGGGTTGGCGATCCGTATGCTCAGGCTCATGTCCGGTATGCTGATCTGGAGCTCGGAAGCACGCTGCCAGCCAAGGACGTTCCGGAGAAAGGTATACCACTCTACTGCATTGGACGCGGTCCTGGCTTGCATAATGAAGATGAGGGTCTCGCGTGAACCTGGTGAGGACACGACCATTGACTTGTCCAACGATGAGTAAAGATTGACCTTGCAGGTCTTCCTCCCCAGCGGAACTTCGTAGGCTGCCTTCTTGCCTGCTCCTGCATTTTCGATTTCCGGGATGACCTGGGAACGAGGTTAGTAGCTTGACGCATATAAAAGCAATGGAGAAACGTACCCGAGTCTGGTAGAGCTGCAGCAGAAATTCTGCGTCATTGGTATGGCTGTGGCGGCAGACGACCATGTACTCCCGCCATTTATCCTTGACGCGGGAGACGACCCTCTGATTGACGTTTTCATCAAAGTCTTCGGGAACTTCTGCGGCGGCATCCACTCGCACAAGCATGCGTTCCATCTTGACGACAAGTCCGTCCTTGATCTTCTGCCGTCTTATCTTGGTGCCAGCTCGCTGAACAGTCATTTGCGCCTTCTTCGCCTTGAGCTGGATCGTGGCGCGTCGGGAGTCCTCCGGGATGTCAAACTTCACAAGGTTCCGAAGGTTCGACTTCTTGCGTGTCAAATCTCCCGTGGCAGGGTCCGTGTCTTGGGGCAATTCCGCGGAAGAGGACATCATGCCTGATCTTCTCCTCACCCTAGCCATTATGCCCTTCGCAGGCGGTTTCGAATCGACATCAGCGGAGGCCGGTGCCTTGTTCATGTCAGCCTTGCGCAGCAAAGACGATGTGGAGTTTGCATCTACAGAGGCTGCTCCGGTAGCTGATGCAGGACTCCCAAGGCTCTCTACATTCGACAGTGGGCGTTTGCCTAGTGACGTAGATCCTGCCTGCCCTTGGCCCGGAGGAACTTGTAAGCCACTTGCCTGTGCGTACTGCTCTTGCTCCTGCAGCGGCCTTTCGTCCGATCCTTGTTGGTCTTCGTCATCATCTTCGTCTGCGGGTATCGAGGACGCGGTAATATATGTCTTGTCCGTACTCGATCGGCGAAATGTCCGCTCGTTGGTGGGAATGCGCTCGATGTCGTCGTCTTCCGGCTCCGAGGGCGCGTCTACAAATTCTTCATTTTCGTCATCGTCCATGACATCGCTCTTGTGATCTGAAGCGCGCGGGACTTGCAAGGCGGGTGGAGTCGCCGCAGTCGCATCCGCCGCGCCATTAGCCCCGCTGGCCTCGAGCTCTTGCGCGCCTTCCTCATCTTCTGCTTGGAGTTCTTCGGGCTGGGGGAAGCTGTGCTGGAAGAGGGCAGACGAGCTGGGGCCTTCGAGACCACTCAGTCGTCGTTGGCGCGCCTCACGCGGGTCAGAAGAGAAGGTCGCCGTACGCGTCGAGTAGTTGATTCGCAAATGGTGCTTGTACCTGAACGTGCGATGTCAGTACATGTCGCATAGGCAGTTCCTACAGATATATCTCTTACCAATCGGAGCGGTGCTTGGTCAGCCATGCCGTGGGGATAGGACCGATGAAGTAGCGTCTCGTCGTGAGATGCAGATGCTCGGGCGTGGCATGTTCCTACTCCTCTTAGCTTGCGACATGCGTGCGGTAGTCTGCAGCCATGCATACCAGTCGCTGGGCAGTGTACGAGTCGGGGGGCAGATTAGTAACGTCAGGCTGGTGCCATGAGCGGCGCTGCTGGTCGGGCATTGGACCTCTCCTATCTCGTTCTGGCCGCGGAGGTGCGCTCCTTCAAGTCACAGTCGGGTGGGAGCGAATACATAAACCACTAAACAACATACATTAAGTTGAGAAGCTAGTAAGAGGCGCGACTACTTTGCATAAGGAGAGGCAGCCACGAGCGCGTGGCGGGCGTGCGACTAGGAAAGCAGGCGCGGGCGAGGGCCGAATTGGCGACGGCATCCTAGCCCTCGTCATCGTTGAGGTGCCCAGCCCGAACCCCCTGTGCAGATCATTATCACAGATCTTCTCACAACGATAGACCAACAACAATATCCGCAGACACGCGACAATCATTTCAGCATTCTAGGTAGGCTTCAAATGAGCCGGCGGGGTACCAAGGAGTCAACTGTTCTCCACGTTTCCGACACGCCTTAGCGTCTTCTCCAAGGCAATCCACGATCCGACGACATCTCAGAAAAAGCAATCTCAGCCCTTCTGACTCGAGGCATTCTGCGCAACAGAAGATCTCTACGCACTTATCCGTTCATCAATCAACTGCTAACTCTCATCAATCCACGTGTGCTTAGTCTTACCTACCAGGTTCCGGTCCCACAACACAGTTTTTGGTTCCGATTCATCCAAGCGAAGAGACCACCAACTCGCCAAAACGTGCAGTTTCAGATCCCAACCTACCCATTCCGGCAACTCTTTCGCAAAACTGTTGATTCCGGTCTCGGGTGATCTGCTAAGTGGCGTTGAGTACTACGAGGGTCTTCCTGGTTCACACGATCTTGACAGCTTGGTGGCACAGAAGTGTCGATTCGCGCAAAGCGAAAAAAAGGAATTACGTGCATCGCCAACTTTAATACTACATGCATCCTCTCACAGTTCCACGATCTCGTCACGTGGCAGAGCTTGCCATGCTATCTCAGCCGCGCCCCTCGCTGCTACGTACTCAGGGTCAGAATACAGCATCTTGGCCCGCGTTCCAAATAAGCTGAATGCATCTGCGATTGCCACTCGAATTCCTTCACGACCGACGCTATCTCGGCTTCCCGTCATTATGACAGTGATTTGTTCGGGAAAGACCCAGGGCCTCTTCGTGTAACCAATGTACACTTTACGCAGATACTCTAGAACGAAATCGCGTACTTGCTCTTCCGTTGCCGAGCTTCTGCTGCCAAGATCGAAACTTATTCTAATATCATCTTCGTAGTTCGCGATCCAGCGGTCGACCATCAAGTAAGATAGCATCCACAGTATATTCCACGATGACTGTGTGGCACCCAGCAAATCCGGATGATGTTTGACATTCGGAACCGCTCTCAGAGAGGCCCATCCCATGGCCGGCATACGCAGCGATGAGCTCGTGTAATTGTAACCCGGAATCGGTCTTCAGCATACGCAAACCTGCGTACTCCGCGGCATCCTTGATGTCTTCCTGGTACAAAGCAGGCAAAGCAGGGAAGCTCTGTATCGCCGATACGGGAGATCCAAGTTTACTTTCCGCCATCCTTGCCGTTGCTGTTAGCATCTTAGCTAATACTGCTGCGTCGGCAGAGGCGGCCAGACCGAGCTTCTTTCGTGCACTACGCCAGGCTCTTCGTGGTGCGTCATTCCACAAGTCTTCCATGCTGCCGTAGGGTTCGCTGTAATTTACATGGTCAGTAATGGTATGCATAAGTACAATGATCCCGAAACCCACGTTAGATGCACCGAAGAGAGCAAAGAGAGGCGTTGCATCATCTTCACATACGCCTTCGATGCCTCCACTCGGCCCAGGTTTTCGAAAGTTCCGTCCGGCCATCGAACTGCTGCTGTTGCATGATTTGCAGTGAGCGAAATACCAACTACTGGCAACTTCGATGTGGGCTTTTCCCGGAGCTCAACTGCGACGGCCTGAGCGTATGAGATGGCAAGGCGGATTACTACGACACCCACGAGGACAGACAGTATTTTGAACATATTGCTTGAGTAGTCAAAGACACGATACTCAGGTGGGTGAATAAGTAAGTGCATCGTGTTCGCAGGCTGGAGATGGTGAGAAGTCGCGACGTCAAGCCGCACAGTAATGGCTGCTGCCTACACCCAGACGCGGGGTACGTCTGTTCTACTTCACACCCTGCTGACTTTACTTGAAGCCTCCATTCGCACTCTGAACCTGGCATTAAAGTATTTGTCCATAAAATTCCAGTATAACATCGATCTCGCTATCATTATGCGACTACGTCATCCTCATCCCACCCTCATCTGCCGACGAAAGCATCGCCCTTACCAATCTCTCGGACGATGTGCTCCACTACGATCATCTCCCCTCCCACCACGCTGCGTCCCATTCCTTTGATCGTTCTGCCTTGGCGACTCATACTCCCTTCTTCCATACACTGAGCGAGGCGCATATGCGGAAGAAGGGGATGGTGTACCCCACGCTCGGTCGAGGTACATGGGCTCAGGCGTTCCATGAGGCTGTCTGGTAAATGTCCCCGTTGATGGTGAAGTTGGTGCGCGGTAACCAGGTGGCCCTCCATTGGGTGGCGGCGCAGTAGGTGCTCTCCTCGGTGCCGGAGCAAGAGTACGTAGTGCTTCGGCCGTGAGGCTCGTTCGGGGAACGCGACTAGGCTTCTCTGCACTGTCATTCGTCTCCATGATCGGTTCAAACTTCTCTTCCATCACATGTGGTTGTTGCGCTTCCACATCCCGCACCTGTTCTTCTGGTTCCGCGTTCTCAGCTACCCTCGCAGCCCACTTGGCTTCCAACATCTTCTTCCCCTCAGCGGTTACCCGCTCAGTCATCCGGTTCTCAGCTTTCTCGATACCCAGTTTGAGCGCTTCGCCCATAACACTGTGGAGGGTAAGAAATGGGAGCGTGAGGACGTGGCGAAGCTGGAGTTGGTAGTCAAGCTTGACTTCGTGGTTGTCTAGGTTCATGTGCAGTTGCGACCTCTTCTGCGCTTCATCTCCTGTTCCTGTCGACGTAGGTCTGGCTGGCTCGTAATACACCTTGCGCTCCTCAAACCTCCCCTTCTCTTTCCACTCTTTAAGTGCATTGCAATCCAGATTCTGAGGCCCATACCGCTTGAGCGGGATGCGAAGCGCGCGGATCAAAGCTTGGGTATGCAGAACGTTCAACTCCAACTTTGGCGTAAAAGAGTCCCGGACATGGAGATACCAGCTCAGACACTCTGTCAGGCCACGCGCATCAAGCCCAGACGGTAGATGGTTCAGGCCAGCGAGGAGATCACTGAATGTCGGCAACACATAGCCGCTACGTCTGTCCGCGATGTATCTGCCTGGCTCCAGGTGGTCGGTATGTAAGTTTGCATCATGCTTCCCGTTGATAGTGTCCGTCTTGAAACCCTCGATGATCTTCTTGACTGAGTCGCGCTGGAACTGATTCATGACTGCCGCCGTGATGTCCGTTGTTGGGGGGCCACGGAAGAATGCCTGTGCATTGTCAGCTATAAACTATCTCAGGGCAATTAGACAGACGAAGACGTACTTGCATACCAACGATGTCCGCACCGCGATAGTCGTTGTTCGCTAGTCGGACCATCATGCTTTTCCACCGGACGTGATGGGGGTAGTAGGCCATGACTTCTTTGGCGGATAGAGGTACTCCAGGGGGGAGCAGAGCGTCTATGGGGACTGCGTCGTTGTACCATGTATAATGCACTCCGAGGTCCTTCCCTACGAATCCCGGCTTTTGTAGAACGCCGCGGACGGCCCGCATATTGAAGTCTTTTGTTTCGTCTACCCATGGACGCTGGAAGGGAGGATATGTGTGTACGGATTCGCCCGAATGCGACATGTGTGGTGTGTAGAGCGAGGCTGCGGTGCGAGCTGTGGCAGGGGTGTGAGGATCGAAGGGCATGCTGAAGTTAGCAGGTGTGTCTGGTAATTGTTGGAGATGCATAGGGCCTGGTGTTGATACAGCCGGAAGCGCATCCTCTATGATGAGCCTGCCTGAGAAGCGCAACCTGACGGTCAAGCTATAGGTCTCGTAGTCTGGCTCTTCGCCCTCTACATCATCAGGGCTGATTCGCTGGCGTTTTGCTACTGACATCCAGACGTTCTTCCTCGCAGCCTTTGACTTCCTCTTGAATGCTCGAACCTTTACAGTGGGTTTCGGGATATCCGATAGGGCTCTCTTCCTTGCGCTTTTTGGAGCAGCCGATACCGAGGCGCTTACATCGACCCCTTTGGTGTCGCTATCGCTTGGGCCACTGCCGCTTCGACTTCTGCCCTTCTCTGGAGCGGCAACCTGATAGTCGTAGTCCATGTCATCCCACGCTGAACGGTCGTTGGACGCGTTTTCGTTGTCATCATGTTGGAAAACTCCGGTTGCGTAACGCCAGTCGCGGGTTTTGGGGACCCAAGTAGAGTGCTTCTGCGGACGGGATTGGCGCGCGAGGATATCTTCTTCCTTCATGGTGGTGAGAGCGAAGTAAGTCGCGTTCTTTTCCTTTGCTATCGCAGTATCGTGACGCTAAATCGACGTCCGTGGAGCGAGGCCAAAGTTGGGTGAGTCGGGAAGAAAGGTGATGACACTCGCGTCGTGAATAGCATATGACGCAGTGGTAGTCACGGACCATGCTCATGTATTAGGCAGTTTGGTAAGTGAAGGCGGAAAAGACACGTGAATGTCGCCCAGTGGCCGCCTACGTCCCCTTGGAAATATACTGGCCATCGCCATAGAGTGAAAGAAAGCCATAGCGATGCGTAGTCAGTCTCTGGCATCTGTCAGAACTGAGATCCTAATACGCATGTCCGAGGACGACAATAAATGTTATTGATGGCGCTTTGTAGAGCGACCACTGACCCTACCTCGAACTCCGACAAGATCTTCGCCAAGACTTGAGAGAATGAAAAGAGGTCTGTTTCTGCTTCTTGAGATTCTTGAACGAGAAAGAAATACGTGGGCACAGGAAACGGCGAGATGTGAACAGATGACCGAACAGACCAAGGACGAGAGGTGGCCAGGCAGACTTGAGATGTCAGTCATCGACGGATATTGTCACTGTACAAATCAGGCCAGGCAATCTCGTTAATTGGACTATTATCATCGCAGGTCACTGCAATAGCATACTCCTGGGCTCGCACCTCCGGAGTCCTCCAAGGCTTTTCATGTGAGCTTTGCTTGCCGAGACATCAGTCCGGGCTGGGCGATGAAACTTGATGACACCAATCGCAAAGGTATCGGAATCCTGTCAAAGGATAAATGCGAGGGCAGGTATGATTAATGAACAATGTGAGCTGATGTTGTCTTCGATGAAGCGGACCCGCGCGAAAGCAAGCGCCTCCGCAACACGGGCCAATCAAAGCACCCCTACGTCATTATCCTGCAATATCCGAGGTCCATCATCAGCACCATAACACCGCGTCCAGCAGCGCGTTGCTACCATCAGACTATCAAACCTCTCTACCAAAAGTCATCATGAGCACAAAATCCATCCCAACGCTAACCCTCGATGGCGCGCGCGTCGCCCTCGCCGCCGCCGAGCAGCGCTCCAAGGAAATCAACGTACCAATGAACATCGCCATCATGGACAACGCATGCCATCTGCTAGCATTCGCCCGCATGGAAGGCGCAAAACTCACATCCATCAACATCGCCATCGACAAGGCTTTCACAGCTGCAGGTCATCGCGCGCCTACCTCTGTTTACAAAGACAATGTGTATCCTGGTGGGCCGGCGTATGGCATCAATCACAGCAATGGAGGCAGGTTTATGACGATTGCGGGTGGTGTCCCGATTGTGAAGGATGGGGTTGTTGTGGGGGCGGTGGGGTGTAGTACGGGGCTGCCGAGTCAGGATGAGGATGTTGCGAAGAGAGGGGTTGAGGCTGTGCAGAAGAGTTTTGGGGTTAAGGCGAAGCTATGAGTTGGGTCAAGAGCAAGGAAGAAGAGGGGGATAAGCTTCTGATGTCAAACAAAATCGCATTGTATTCCGGCTTGTTACGACTTCCACATCCAACCAATACTTACATGTACGATCGAAGACACTTCTCTATCAGCAACAACACAAACGTCTTTGATCCATCACACCAACGTTGTTTACTTCCACTTCTCTAGGTCGGTTTCTGACACTGCGAATAATACTCGTCGACCTTGAAGCAAACCAGCCCTTGGTTGCAAGTTGTCGAGCCTTGCCATGTCTGCCCACCGCACTGATCATAGAGTTGTACTGGGCCCGTAGCCGCTGGTGGCGCAGGTCTAGTCGTGGTGGTGCGACGGGTACGAGTGAACGGCGGGGCTGGCTGAGCAGGTGGAGTAGATGACGGTCTAGCGGTTGTGGATCGCGTGCTCGAGGATCTCTGAGATGAGACTGGGGGCTGGCACTGCGAGTACCCTAGAACACGTCAGTATGAGGTTGGAGATGGTATGATTGAACCAGCGCGACTCACATTCATCGACTCTCACGCACACCGAATCCTTGCATGTCCTGGGACCAGTCCAACCATTCCCGCCGCATTGATCATAGGGTAGACCGATAGTAGGTGCGGCGCTGGCAGAGGTTGTAGTCGTCGGGGTTGTTCTTGTGTTAGCTGGGTCCGCGAGGCAATAGTACGAATTCTCGTCGACATAGGTACAAACGGTGCCTCCTACGCATCGGGTGGGACCTTTGTAAGACTTCCCACCACACTGACCACCCGGCTGTACAGTGCCAGAAGATATGGGTGCAGAGGTTGTAGGTGTTGGCGATGGGGTATTTTGTCCCGGAATCGGGTCATCATTACGGCGGCAGCCAGAAACGCCAGAAAGAGTCTCAGGGCACTTGACTTTCTCCCAGTTGACAGACGGGTTATCAGCTCCCCGAAACCAGTCAAAACGCCAGTAGCAGCCAGCTTGTAGCGCAGCGGGGAGGGCGTCGCAGTCATCGCGATGCCCTACGCCACCATAGTCTTGACCCCAGACGTCGGCGCCGCCATATTGTTTCGTGCATCCTTGAGTGGAACCTTCGCCACCACCAGGGATGGCAATGTTGAATTGATCTTCTCCTAGATCAGATCCAGTGTTCGTGACCTGGACGATCATCTTCTTTCCGTTGACTGGGCCGGAAGTAAACGTCAGACTAGAGTTTGTCAGTAACTGCTCGGGCATCGAACTGGACGAACATACGAGTAGCAAGAGCAACACCACGCGGATTCGTTCGAAGCTGCAAGATTGACTGCGGCGAAGCCATACGCCAAGTCGTTACTCGCAGCCCATGGGCTGAGATCAGAGCAGGCATATGAACCACCGCCGCTTTCGCAGCCATCGCGCCTGTTGTAGTTGTCGAGGAGATTATCGCTTGCGTCGCACGTCAGGACTGGTTTATCGACAAGAGCTTTGCCGGGCCAAGAGCAAGAGTTCTTGCAGCAGGACCACTGACGAGTGGTTGACCCGGTGCCTTGGACGGCACTTCCAGCGCCGTAGGCAAGGGCGAAGAAGGTCGACGTGACAGCGGAGAGAAGGAAGATCCGCATCTTGGAATTTGAGGTATGATACTGCAAGAGAAGAAGACTGTATGAGCAAGCCGAGATGACCTGATCAAGATGAGGTTGTAATCGACGAGACGTGGAGCTTTTATATACCCTCATTGGGTTATGCTTTCTGCTCTGGCTATTCTACAAGTTCGTACGGCATAACACCTGCCAGGTCCCTGCGGTATCTACACGATCTGGCAGGAGAACTTATCAGATCATTGCTATTCCCAGGTACTTGATTGCGCACACGGGAAGATTGTTGGTGTTCATCTACTGACGATGTTCTTCCGCTGTCTGTTGAGAAGCGCTGAAGCGCTACTATTCATAGAAGCTACCAGTGCGGTTTGCTAAAACAGACGGCTATATGATCCGGTGACTGTCGGCAGATACATACACGCCACTTCACGACCTTCGAGCCATTCTGTTCGTTGTAAGTTGTTTTCGTGCATGCTCAAGACAGAGCTGTGGTGTAGTCGCTCCTCGCCCCCTTGTCACCCGCCTGGAAGAACGCTGTTGATGATCATCCTAACCCCATCCGTGCGGACACGATTGATTACTCTCGTTTCTGGACCGCGAGAGCACGGGCTATCTTCCGTACAGGGCAGCTCTTCTTCCGACACCCATAGAGCCGGTAAGCCACGAGCCAGATTTCGACTTCGATCTTGATTGAACGCTGTCTGCCATTGGCCCCATGTGTGGTACCAGATTGAACACCGAGCGATTTGTTGAGGCTTCTGTATCTCGGACCGTAGCTGAAGGCATCGCGAATGTTGCCTTCTTCAGAGGTCTGTGGCGTTTGAGATACGGCACAGATGTGGGTACATAGTGCCGCGAGAGTAGATCACTATGGCGCACTCGTCCAGGGGCCTGGGGCGAAATCTAAGTTTACTATACTGCCATGGGTCCAGCGAACCATGTCTGTGAGAAAAAGCACCTTCCTAAGCACGGGCACGAATAGCGAGATCTCCTTACGCGTCGATCTGCCTACGACCGATCGACTGGTAGTCTGGTCAAGGTGTCCTGGTAAGATCCGAGCTCGCTTTCACGTGCGACTGCAGGCGGCTCTATATAACCGGCGATTCATCTATCTGGTCAGATGATCAAAAACGAATACACGTCAGTCACCGAGCGAGGGCAACTATTACGATTCGGCCCGTGAAGAAGTTGCAGAATATCGGAACGTTTGAGAGAAACAGAGGCGTCGTGACTTGGGCCAAGGTTGGCTCACGAGGTGTCGACAGGCATGTGTCTTGTAAGGGCAGGCGTCCAAGGCCCCTAAGCGGGGGTAACGCCGTTGTGCTGCCGGCGCTAGGGTCGTAGCGGACCGCAAGAAGGCCCAACCTTAGTGTCACTCCTGACATGCACAATGCGCTTCCTATACCTTCAAGAATTCAGATAAGAAAATCCTACACGAACAACCGGTGAAGCCATGGATTTGGCATCAATCAATCGGCTGATGCTGGCACATCACTGATCCTTTCGGCGCTACCCGCGCTTCGAATTCTCCGACTTCAGGCATTCGTGGCAGGTTGTGGGGAACGTCGATCGCCTACGACACATGCACATTAGCCCACGTCCTGAAAGAATTTATCGCCTTACGTCTCAGGTATCAATAGCCAATCACGTCCGCTCGCATCATCGCCCATTGGCTAAGCGACGGCGTATATACCGCTTTATCTACCTCCGAAACAGGGTGGACTGGTCGAGCAAAATGCGGTCGGACCGTCTCGTAGGGACTATCATACACAGCTGTGAATCAGGGTCTGTCATAATATGGCAACAGCCGCGTCACGTTGCAGACTAGCTGTCCCTCCATCTTTTCCCCGTTGCAAACGTTGACTGACAGCTCGGCACAAACACCTGCATTTAACACTTTGGACCCCTGGAACCAGAGGAATTTTGGCTACTGAACTTGCGACAAATCTCGCTGCGAAATCGGAACAACATGGCTGGCATAGCTTGCGTATGGGCAAACATCCCAGAGGGACGCGAAGAGTGGTACGAGAACGAACACCTACCTTCACTGAATCCACACAATGCAAAGCATGCTTTACATTGCGAAGTAACGGCGAGCGGTATGGAGAATGAGCCGGTGGGAAGATTGGACGCGCCATGGCCTTACATGACCGTATGGGAAATAAAGAGTGTCGACCAAGCCAACAAAGACATGTACGACGCACAATACCATCCACCAAATGCCGATTTGCAGGCTTCCCTCAAAGGCCTACTTCTTGATCTTCGGTCCTATCGGGAAATCAAGAGTTGGAAACAAGACGACTGGTCCGGTGACGGTGGTGGTAAGATCACGGGTGCGGATAAAGCCGGCGATGACGGACTAATGTCGATAGACATCGAATACGTCGCAAGCGTGGCGGCAATGGAATGGAGCGTACCAGCGGACAAGGAAGAGGAGGTCATGAAATACTACAGAGAAGTCGTCGGCCCAACAATATCTAGTTCACCAGACGTACTGCGGTTTCGCCTCTTCGAGGTCGACAACGCAACAACGATGCAGGGCGGAAAGTTCGAGACCAAAGACAAGAAAGAGCTACACAGATACTTTACGCTCGTCGAGCTAGAGTCTGAGCAGTGGCCATGGGACGTGGTCGTCGATCTCGCGGAGGATAAGGAATGGAAGGACTACTTCGAGAGTCAGCAAGTAGTGGTACGTTGACGATCAAGCCCCGTGGAACTTTGAGTTACTGACGACATTCAGAAATGGCAACTTAGTCACTACTTGATGAAGAGGGCGTATGGCGTACCGGAAAGCAAGGCCTCTGCATCGAGCTAAAGGCTGGAAACGCTAGATCTGCCAACACATTGGTTAAGGGATAGTATCTTCGACTCGAGCGAAGCTTCTTCTCACGCAATACATCACTTGAACCATGAAATCACAACATCGACAAACCGAGACGGTGCATTCAACAAGCTAACATATGCGCACCCGCATTTGCGTTTGACACCAGAGACGCACTATGTACAGCCTATCTGCATCGCTCGCCTGTTGATATTCGATTTCGCCCAGCCTCTGCACCACATGTATCGGATCTTCCTTCTTTACCGAACCGATATTGCGAATGGATTTATATACCCCAACCGACGAGTACCCGACAAGCCCGCATGCGCCTACATTCAGTCAGCCAACCAGTCGTCATCTATACTAAAGGGCCACTTACCAGCAGCAGGCTTCAAGGCCGCATTCATAACGCCAGTCGCACATCCAGCAGCAAAACCCAGGACACCATCCTTCTCCGCACCATCGATGGGTTTGATTATAAGATCCCTTATGCCATCACTGAGTCCGTAACCAAAGCTCTTGAAGCTGACCAGCAGCCCACTTCTCAACCCAGTCACATTCTCATACTGCCGCACCTCCTCACCGTACGCTTTCGGAAGGTTATGGAAACCTCGAGTAATACCATGCATGACAATCGCCGGACTCTTCAGACTGGTGGTGATGATGCGTCCGAATCCTTTTGCGGTACCGAGGGCTACTTGGCGTGCCACATGAGGCGAGTCTTTGGTGTCGAGAGGAGGTAATGGGTTAGCGGTTCCGTCCCGCTTCTCTTTGCGTCTTATCTCGCGCTGCAGTAGCATTGGTGTTGTTTGTTTGCCCAGCTCCACCGGACCTGCTACGAGACCCAGCATGATTCCGCTTACCACGTCGTAGGTAGTGAGAAATGCAGCGGATACCGGGTCGGTGGGGTCGTGCTTCATGTCTGAGTATTGAGATATGCTGTAGTGGGTGTCAGTGGTAGTCGACGTTTGTTGCATGAAGAGATTCCCTACAGATGCAAGTCTTTGGGTTGAAGAAGACCCTCTTTAGTAAGCACCGCAGCCGCAAGCGGCGATAGGGCCAGGCTCTTCCGCTTCACAAGCCATACTGCTGGTCTATCGTGAAGGATGCTACATGCTCGTATGCTAGCAAGGCTCGCCGTTGCATCGGCTTCTGTGAACTCATGTGTCAAGGCTGGAGGGTTTGACGAACGTGTATGCGATGGGTTTTCTTGGACGCTAGCATCCTGTCGTATGTCGTACTCGTGCTCTTCTTGAAGACTCCGCGGTTCTGGGCTTGGAAGTGGATCGTATGCCGGCGACTGGTCTTGACTGCGTGGCTTTTCGTTTTGCGTCGACTCCGCATCTACCGAGATTTCTCCGCCCGCGACCTGTTGAGTGTACTCTGGGAGGTCCATGGTGTAGAGGTCAGCATTCTCCGCGGTGGGTTCAAAGTGCACCAGCGAGGAGGTGTCGGTGTCTGCGTCGGGATTATTAGTACTCTCGTATGAGTATAAAATGCTCGGAGTACCTACTAGCAACACCCCGATCTTCCTCGGAAAAGATCGTGGTTACGGCAGTCATCTTCTGGAGCGTAGGTCTGGAATGGTCGAATTGCAGATTGAGCAGCATGAACTGCAAGCAGTATTACTTATGGGTCAACTTTGCCATCTTCAAGAGAAACCTCTCTATAAGGCCCTACTTCGTAGCCACGCGTGCGGAAGTCTTGGTTTTCCGAAACGGGAAACGCTAGGCCCGAAGTGGTAAACTTTGAGAAGGGCGCAGCAGGCGGCCTGACATGCAACCAAAACCGCCTTGGCGGCCTATCATCAAGGCCGTGAGAACACTAGCGAAGTTGTGCACTTGGTGTTATGCTTCTTGTGAGGGTGTGCATTCCGGGGCTCGCAAGCTCTACCAGATCGCGTAATGCCATGGGTATGTTTTAGATGTCGTAGAAACTAAGTCAATATGAAGAATATGGTGAAGAGCTTCTAGTCGTCTCAGTATCCTCTATCCAGTTTTCTGCTCGATCAAAGCATAAATGACATGCTTGTGAGGGAATTTGGGCAGATACACGCGTTGCATGTGATCCCAAGGCTTTTGAGAATGCGTGAACATTTCGTAATCCATAACAGTATAACTAGCTAGTAATCGCGTCGCGTTTGTGTTTACAGTATCAAAGGTCGTGTGTACAATCAAAAGCAGACGTTCAGAGGGTGCAGCTCACATCGGCTACGAACGCGTCAAGATGATGACGTAATGAAGTTTACGCGTTCGGCATCGACGGAAGTTGCACCGAATACGCGACTGTCTCCTGCCTCCTGCCTCCTGCATTTTCACGACGCGATCTCCTGCTATCGTCCCATCATCGCGAAAAGCACCAGCCACCTTCAAGGCATAACAAAGCGACAGAATGGGTCCTGTGGGCAACGATTCATCCTCATCCGACCGCGACGGGAACCGCAAGCCATTAACCAAAGCGACCCTGTCGCAAGGAGACCTGATGGACGCGACGTGACCGTCGCCGGATCCTGCATCTGGGAACCATTCAGTCACCTTTCTGTAACTCTAAGGTTACTACTGAGCCACTGGATGATGTGCCGTTGGCTACTGAGCTGCTTAATACTGAGCCGTTGCATACTGAGCCGTTGCATACTGAGCCGTTGGATTTTGATCCAGGAGATGATTTGGGTAGTATTCGACCATATATCGATACCATTGGTCGTAAGCGCTCTCAGGGCTCGACTGTGTATCGTCTCCATCGTCTGGCTGATCTCCATTCCCAGGATGCTGCCTACCACCCGAGGGATCGCTGTCTCTGTAACCGCTCCTTCCATGCCGGTTACGGTCGTCGCGGTCATCTCGTTGTCGCTCTTTGTCATTTTCTGAGGTGCGGCATCTTGATATGGTATCAGTATGTTACACGTGGTTATGATGCCAGCCACTCACTGAATCGGTATGTAATAGCTCCTTATAGCGTATCCGTTGTGACGGTATGCAAAGTGCACAGCGTTTCTTGCACTGTTAATGAGCATCTCCGCTTCTTTTGTTGAGCTTGGCTCCCATATTGTCTTGAGGACGATATCCTCATTATTTCCGTACATGAGCTTGTAATAGCTGTTGTAGTGACGCGACCACATCCATTCTGACCAGCGCCCCAAACCCACATCGGCTTGTCCTTCGGCTTCTTCTGGTGGACCTGGAGAACCCCACAGAGTTTCGAGAATTGTACGGTCGTCACCATACTCGTGTTTGTAGCTGCGACCATAGCTGGCAGAGGAGATCCAACCTGGGCCCCATGGATTTTCAACCCCGCGATCCTTGGCCGGGTCTGATTCAGAATATACGACATTACCGGAAGCGTCTTGTTTACAGAACCGCTGGGCCCATTCGGACCATCTCCAGGGTATGTGGTTTTCCATTGCGCACGGTGGGTAACGGATCCCAGTTCGGGGTGCGCCCTGTTATATCGCCTGGCGGGCGTGCGGCTTATGTGGCGGAAACCAGTCGCGCTTGCAGATACCCCAGGGCTGAAAAATTGCGTTTCGCACACTTTTTGACATAGGGCATCATCGAGACGAGGTGCGTCTACTCGTCGCGGTATTTGGATGGAGTGACACGCTGATCTTCCACAGCTATTCACATATCACATAAACCGGTCCAAGTGGAGTATCGCGTTACATCTTCAAAAACACATCTGTCATGCGGACTTCTTGATGCCTGACGCAAGACTGCTATCCCGTGTTGCTGATACGAGAAGCCGCACCTCATTCGCAGGAAAACGCCTCTTCATGCACGTCTGAACCAACCCAAGCGATTAGCGTGGCAAGGCAAGGATACGCACAAGCAATCATGTAAGCGTTCAGCCTCACTGCTACCTGGACGATCATCGCCTTCTCGGCGTCCCTCAAGCACAGCTGATCTGCGCGTGTCAAGCGTAGTCTGGCATAAGAACAAGATACGTGATCTGCGAATTGCAAGAAGCTCGACTCGAAGCAACCCCAGATACGATACGATTCGAATGAAGCGAGCGCTCCGTTGGCTGTTTGAATAGCGGTGGAGCTTATCGATCGTACTTCATGTCGTCAAGTTCAGTTGCTCCGACAAAACACGCCATTTCTCACAATCCTCCTTCTCGCACATTTATGCGGCCGAAGCTGGAAACATTTACGAGCAACTTGAACGTCACAAACTCAACCGTCAGACCGCATACCCATTCATGTCACTTCTGAGTACGCCGAAGACGGGACGATGGAGAGATTATAGCGAGGGACACCGTAAGTATACCCTTGATTTTAGAGATCACACATTGATGAGCTGCTAGGCTTGCAGACGTTGCAACGCGATTCCTGGCGGGAAGCGCAATGGTTCAAAGTCGGTATCGCTATCAGCCTCACCCTTGCGTCGCCTTACGTACTGCGAATCGTTCTCAGTACAATGTCGTTTGTTAAGCAGTACTTATTTCCCACGACATCAAGTGATCGTGACGACGAATCTGCCGGCCACCTTGTCCCAACAGGCAATTTGAGCACTACGAAGGGTACAAAAGGAGGACTGAAGTATCGGATATCTAGTCTTCTCGCCCAAGACCCCTGCTGGGAAGCTCGGCATCGATTCTTTGGCTCCTTTCTCCTTGCATCGTTCTTGTTGGTACTGTATCAATCCATCGTGGGGATAGTTCTGACCGACAACGTCGCAAGAAGCAGATCTGCCCTACTTAAGTCAGATAAATGTGGCCTCTATGAGTACGACAACGAGAAAGCCGGCGAAGAAGAAGCTGTAAAGGCAGACATGCTCATGGTGGGAAGAGAAAGACGCGCAGCGGCCTATGCGCAGGAGTGCTACAGTTCCGGTACTAACGTCAAAGCCACGAATTGTGACTTCTTCTACAACTCAACTATTGGGTATGAAGTGCAAGAGGATAAATGTCCCTTCGATAGGACCGACATATGCGTTGATGGTTACCAGCCTGGCTCAGCCATCACCTTTGATACCAACTGGATCGATTCAGGGATACTAGGTATCAACGAGGCGTCCATGCACATATTTCGACGCAAGACAACATGCGCACCACTGAGCGCAGATCGACCTTTCGTGCAGCACTTCACCAACATCGGGATGGGCGAGTCTGGATACAAGTACTTTTATGGATCGCTCTACGATACCACGAACTGCTCAGACGAAGTGCATGCTCCTCCGCCTATACTCTCTGACTACACTATGCGTATCACGGGTCATCCATTCGAATGGCAAGCCCCCGTGTACAAAGTCAAGTAAGTTTGCAAACAAGTCTAAACTGAGTTGTTAGCTCTACCTAACAAGTTCATAGTACTTACGCCACCTCCTTACTCGACCCGACGTGTGACTTCTATCAGCCTTCAAAAGACCTGGCAGCCCCGGGCCTGTTGCCACAACGAACCAAGACGTTGACCCTCATTTTTGTTACGGCTTTACGCATCATTTATACCAAGCGCAGCAACGATCCCATTTTCCCCGCCGACAAAGCCTTTCAATACCCCGGAGACAAAGGTTATTACTACTACAACTCGCAGCCGAAAGCGCGAGCATTCGCCTGCATAGATGAGACGATCTTCTGTGCTCCGTCGGGCTCTCCGTGTTGGCATGCAAACGACCCAATACCAGCTGGCGGATCGAACACATCATCCTATTGGTTCTTGAAGTATGCATTGGAAAGCTCCAACACGTACGACGCCATAAAGCTTCGTCTCGGTAGCGGTTTACTCGCGCAACAACGAGTTGGCCAGTCTCGATCTATGCCACTGGCTGACAACCATTGGCAGCTTGAGGCTGAGCATCTGTTTAAGACATCTCTCGCAAGAGCCCAGTTTGATGCGTGGAGCATCGCGAGTGCGGAAGACCATGACAACCCAACGTATACCGATACACTCCCTGATGAAGCTAGGGGAAACATGTGTGGACTCTTCAAATTCCAAGCCTCCGGCTACATCAATATCCGCATGCTGCCATTTGTATGGCTGATGTTAGCCTGGCCGCTCATGTTGATTCTGAGCATCGAACTTAGGACCTACGAGAAGTTGGGGAAGGTTGCCATGTCGGAGATGAGAAGAAATAGCAAACAGTCGGCCAAGCCCAATTCAGATGCGACTGCGACACCAAGAGACCCGGCTACTGCAGTTACAGATTCAGCGACGCTAGACCAGCCGCAAGAAGCGATTGACTCAAACGCTACAGCTACTCCCACCCCACAGCGACCAGACACGGCAAGCAGCACGACACCCCTCATCGCCGCGTCTTCGGCATCTGCATCGTCTGACTTAAATCACAACTACGGAACTTCTAGCACTCTGAGCAGTACGCCCTCGGATCGTAGTTCTAAGACCGACAAATCCGAATGGTCACCTTTGTTGATACACGGTCCAACTGTGCTAAGTGTATGGATGTACAAGAAGATGAGGAGTGGGAGAAGTGATGCAAGGGACAGCGGTGAAACAGTCTGATGAGCGCACAATGGCTCTTCCAGGTTATTATCAAATGTGAGACGAGACACTAAGGCGGACATGCAGGCACGTACAGCAAGTAGACATCAAGATCGCAATCTCCTTTTAATAAACCATGTCTGGCTTTTATACTCCCATCTATCATTCAAGAAAAAGGGATAGATACCTAACGCACCTCATCAGCGCGTAACATCTCCCTTCCCAAAAGTCGCACCATCCCTTTCGCCATTTCCCACACAGTAGTTTCCCCAACTCCGGCTGGCCATGCCAGGAAAACGCCCAAATGATACGCATCGAAGAAATGTGGGGGGCGATGATGTAAGACGAAAACAACCCAACCCATGATGATGAAAACCCATTACTCATTACTCAAGATATCCACCGGAAGCTACGTATCGAATCGGGACTAACCGGCTAGGCCAAGTAGCCGAGCTCGTCTGCCTCCAGACGCTCCAGGTATTCCTTCTCGAGCAGAATGTCTATGCACTTCTTGATGTCGGGGACGCGGGGCATGAATCGGGTCTTGATCTGCTGGATGGTCTCTGAGACGAGCTGCTGGTGCTTCATCTTCTTGCGGGACTTCATGATACGCACGATAGCGGACTGTTGATATGTTAGCATCCTGTAATGTGGGGAAGATAAGAGTGGTGAATACATACCTGAATGAGTAGCTTTCGGTCCTCCTCAATCGTCTTGTGCGTATCCTCCGCCTCGGCCTTTTGCTCAGACTTGATACCAATGTTCAAGTTCATCTTCACCTTCTTGGTCTTGAAGCCGGTGTTGAGCTTGTAGGAAGTACCAGACTCAGGCTTTGCGCCCTCGGGTTGGGCGAGCAGAACCTTGGCCTTGATGAAGACACCCAAGCTAGGGTCGAGAGTCTCCTTGTTCAGCTTGGTGGACTCAGCAATATCATCGTAGGTGACGGTATCACTGTCGTTGAACAGTAACATGATGGCCATCTGGTAGGTCGAGACCTGGAAGGTTGGTGAAGTCTTCAGGTTCGCAACCTTGCAGTAGTTGGCCTTGACCTCACCCTTGCACAGCTGCCATAACCAGGTAAGCTTACGACCTTGGTGCTTGTGGTTGTAGAAGCGAGAGAAGCGGTCGTAGGTCTGAACAATAAGTTGCGGTGGGGTAAACGGTGTGGTGGGTGGGTTTAGAGGCCAGAAACCGGTACCGAGAATGTGGTATGAGGCATCGACGTTGGTCTTCATGTCTGACTCGTCCAAGTTGTTTGACTGCCACTCCTTGAACGCGGTGTTGAGATCCTTGGAAATCTGCATATCCTGGAACATGCGTTGTAGCTTGTTGGTGTATTCGAAACCACAGGCCTCCTTCAGCTTCGAGATCATGCTGGTCTCGGCGTCGTCTGATGCAGAAGTAGTCTGAACTAGACGCTTGGCCAACATACGCGAGTAGAACTTCTGGAACACGTCCTTGTCTTCGATGTACTTGAAGACAGTCATGATCTGTGTTAGGAGCTTCTCCATGTCATCCTCTTCACTCATCTTGGCGTTGGAGCGCTTCAGCAGAGTATCGGTGTACTTTGCGAGGAGCTCAGGCGACTTGTTGGAGCCAGACTTGCAGATCTTGTTTCTGTTGACGAACTCGCGGCAGGCATTATCTAACGAGCGAACGAACTCTGACTCTCCGTTGAACGCCTTGTTAACGAGCGCCTGGTACTGGGTGTGGACCTCAAGAAGGGCCTCGACGTACACCTTTGGCTCCAAGCTGTCTCCATCTTGCGCGATCTTGTCAACGGCAGCCAGACCTGCCTTGCGGACGTGGTTCTCGAACCGAAGACGCAGAGGATCAAGACCCTCAGGAATGCGGGCAAGCAGCTTGTACATGCGGCCTAGGTCCTCCTCCTTGTCGTGGTCAAGAAGGATCTGGAACTCCTCGCGAAGTGCTTGCGAGTGGCTTGTGATGAGCGACTGTTCGCATGTCCGCATCAGAGGAGACATGATCTCGTTGAGCAGGTAAAGTGGGACGCGCTCCTTCTCCTCTTCCAGACGGATCTCTGCCTTCTTCATGTATTCAACCACGCTGTTTTCTGCCAGAAATTGCTTGGACTCGTTGTCGTAGTATTGGGCGGTGGCCTCTAGGAAGGGCTTCTCGAAGTATTCCTTGTAGACATCCAATGTGGACTTGGAGCTGTCGGCCTCGTCCAGACCCAGCGATACGAAAGAGTCGACGACCGACTTGATCTGCGACTGCTCGATAGTCTCGCCGTTTCGCTGCTTCTCCACTAGCTTCAGGACCGAGCGCATGACGCTCTCTTGGCTGCCCGTGAACATGTCCTCCTTCCAGCGCACCAAATGCAGTGTGTAGATGTCATAGATGTGCTTCTTTCCCTCGTCCATCTCACGCTTGACCCAATGACGGTTCAAGTACCGGAACAGATGGTTGTTGTACTGGCCAGCTGTCGTGTAGCGGTTCCACTCCTTGATGTAGAAGTGGAGGAGCGCCTCGTCGACATGTTGCCGCGAAGCCGCCTGGACTTCGGAGAGATGCGCCTTCAGGTATTCGATCAGGTGCTGGTAGAGGTCCTCTCCGAGGAGATGGGCACCTCCGCGGTTGTTGGCGGCGTGGAAGGACGAGCCTGCGACGGCTTTTTGGGCGGTACAGAAGTTGTGGATGGCGGTGTAGAGACCCATGTACGTCTTCATGTCGACACCTTCGCGCAGGTTCGTCATGATCTTGTCGACACCGGCTTCGAGGTACTTCCATCTGTGAGCTATTAGCATCTGGTCGAGCTCTACGTCATCTTCGGGTTGGGGTCGCTTTAGTATAGCTCGTCCTGCCATGGCTTTCTCCGCCTGCGCTCACCATAGCGGCGCAGCTCTTGCAGAAGCCAAATGCGGCGGACACAAGACCCGCCATTCGAGACGTCACTGCAACCCGTCCAGAACTCCGCAAGTTGCAACGCTGTACAGAAGAAGATGCTGGGGGTGATAGAGAGTAACTTACGTGGCGTTGACGTCGTCCTTGGCCGGGACGGGTGGCATACTGGAAGACATGGTGGGTTGTGTCGTCGCGTGCTCTTGGGCACTTTTCTGAGGCGACTTCTTGCGCGTGAGGAACTTTATTGTCGGAATCGCCGTGTCACAGACAAGCGGATTGTCAAGCAACACTGGAGAGCGCGCTTGTTTGGTGTCCTTTCACAAGGGTGGATGGTGATAAAGGCGGGTTCGGTGGAGGGCGCGGTGAAGTGGTGGGGAGTAATGGTAGCGGGCGGGGAGGGCTTAAGATGTACCGAGCGGTCGATTTCCGCGGGTTTTGGTATGCGCCGTCAAGTTAGGCGACACACGGAGGGGAGGGAGAAGAGAAAAGTGAAGGTGCCGGACGAGCAAGGCGGCGACGTTTAGAGTCACGTCGTTGTCGCTCCATACAGTTCAGGCAGCACCGAGCTTGGGTCTTGGCGTTTTACAAGGGTCCCGTTCACGCAGCCTTGCACTAGCCTCCACAGTGCTCAACGCGAAGGCAGCAGAACCTTTGACAGCGAAGCATGCCAGCATTACAGTTCTTTCGCTCACTGTTCCCCATCCACATAGCGGATCGTGCTGTCGGTTCATAGTAGTGATGATGGTATGCGGATATCACGATACATCTCATGCTGCTGGAGTACCGCTTATCACCATTTTCGTGTGTGATTTGGACTCAACGGAGGTCTCTCAATGCGGTGCTCTTCAGGGTGGATCCAATAAAGCCTTTTGGATTGGCTCCCTATCTGATTATGTTTCCACTCGTCCACAGTGAAGCCTTGAAACCCTGCTCTACTAGCTAGTGGCAAAAGATAGTGATGGTCACTCTATGATCTTCAGCTACGAACTTAGGAGTTCCACCACGGAGAAGTAAGTACATGCTCAGACGGAACACCGAATTCACAATGGCAGAACAATAGACGTTCCTTGCAAATCCGTTCCGGCTTTTTGACCGATGACGTATTGGTAGGATCATCAGATGCCATCTTATATCAAAAGTTGGGATGGCAGTCTTTCTCCTTGCCAAAGCATCCTACGTCAAACCACTGAACCAAAAAATCCAACAATTCATCTAGAAAACAACACCCCAAAATGCCATCTCTAAACCTAACCCCCCTCACCTCCCTCCGCCTATCAACCCACTACATCCCCACCCACTCCCTAATCCCCAACACAACCCCCCACAACCGCCCCCTCTACATCTACCACTCCGCCTTCCCGCCCTCAACCCCACCCTCAACCCTCGAATCCCACCTCCTTGCCAACAACCTCACCCCCCAGTGGCGCTACACAATGTACACCACAACGCACTACCACAGCACCACCCACGAAGTCCTCTGCATCTACTCGGGCCGCGCTCTCCTCCTCTTCGGCGGCGAATCCAACCCAGGGCGGGTAGAAACAGAGGTGAAAGCTGGGGACGCGGTGGTTGTGCCGGCGGGGGTGGGGCATAGGTTGGTGGTGGATAAGGAGGGTGGGTTTATGATGGTGGGGAGTTATCCCGAGGGGTGTGGGTGGGATATGTGTTATGGGAAGGAGGGGGAGGAGGGGATGGCGGAGAAGGTGAAGGGCGTGGGGTGGTTGGAGAGGGATCCGTTGTATGGGGTGGGAGGGCCTGTGACGTGGGGGAGAGAGAGGTTGGAGAGGTTTTGTAAGGGGGAGAGGAGTGAGTTGTGAGACTGAGGGGAATAGTTAGAGCATGCGACAAGCTAAAAGCTGCTTGTGTAGTGTAGCTGAGGTATGCCTGCGTGGAGGCAAGTCGTCCACTGAGTCTAGGCGATGGATGATGGCGTAGCCTAGAGACTATCAGTGTCTTTATAGGAGACTTACCACGGCGATGGATGTGTTGAGGGCTTCCCGGCTACTATATCACCAATTACGAATGAAGATGTTGATCATATGTCGTTATTCTCATAAGCATCCAATCATACAGATGCTGACACTCTATGTGGTATAGTACATACATAGCCTCCAACGCCCATGCTGTTTATGAATCTTGAACCATGATATCGTACTTTGTTGAGACGTGAAATGGGATCATGGCTTGGCTGCTTGTTTCGCCTTCTGCTTACCCTCTTCAGCGACATCTTCAGCTTTATCGTGTATCTTCTCCAGGATATCCTCAGGCAATGCGTCTTTTGCCCTTGTGCCGTTACCCCCAGCAGCCTTCTCTTGCTCCAGCTTCTCCTCCATCCTCTTCTCCTTTGACTTGATGGCGTTCTCGACCTGCTCGACAGCACGCTCAATCTCAACCTCCATGTCAGGTAAATCGAATTGCTCAGCGATGAGCTTTCCATTCCACCGTTGCAAGACCATGACGTCTTCGGTCTCGTTGTTGGTCTGCTGGTGCACGACATTGGCGACCTGCTGGGCCTGTTGTGGGGTTGGGTCGGGAGCAGCACGCGAGAGTGCGCGGGTTGGGTACATGAGTCCGGCAGTGTAGACCTGGTCGAGCGTGCCTGATGGCGCAGGGGTAGGGAGGTTGTGCTTGAGGAGGAATTCGAGGTGCTTGGAGCCGCTGAAGGCCTTCCAGTGACTCCATGCCCGGTAGAGGACGTAGAAGAAAGGCAAGTTGGGAATGACGGGGACGAGCATAAACGGCGCGGTAAAAGGCATGATGACGACGCTCCAGATCAGTTTCGTCCTGTGCATGTTCTGCCTCTCTTTTGCCAGCTTCTCCAGCAGCCCCGACACTCTCTCTTGCGGCAGGTACTTTCCAGGGAACAGGACCTCATATTTTGCCTTGCCGTCTACAATGTCCTGCCTCCGCTTCGCCGTGAGGGCGGGTATGGTCTTGAGTCCCCATTCCTCGTAGGGTATGCGCTTCAGGGCGTGGTTGCCGTAGAAGGTGACTTTTTTCTTCCAGTCCCAGATGGCCTTTTCGTCCTTTTCCCAGGCGACCCACGTCTCATTGGCCTTTATGGTGATCTTGTCATAGTAGGAGCGGTCCTTGGGGGCCTTTTCGTGCAGCTTTTCGCAGTAGATGAGGGAGCGACGCGTGGATATGGGCAGCAGGAAGAGACGCATCGTGGGGTCGTAGGATGAGGACCGTGGGTCGTGGGGCAGAGGGTCTTGGTGGTTAGGTAAGCGCAATGCTGCGCGTATTTAATCGCGATTTAACAAACTCTCGCGGCAGGTGTGCGAGACATGACGCAGGTCGAGTCGCGTAGAGACCAAGGCACCGAAATCGCTAGCTGGGTGTCGTGTCGTCGGAATTTGACGACGGGCTACTGCGGACCCATGACCTCACCCCAGGCTGTTTTCCTGGCTAAGCATGCTGCCAGCGCGCAATCCCTGTTTCCCTGATCGACGAACAAGCAATCTCCCCTACGACGCCAACACGCGCACGCACCCAACGCTCCACCACCCCCAGGCGCACCACCAAACTCTAACCATCTCGTCGTTCGCTGTTTCCTTGTCTTGTTTACCCGCACTGTTGCACTGCGCCCCGTCACTTCCTAAGCCGGACATGGTGTCGTTGCGACTCGTCTACTTTGCTCCCACGTAATCTCCCCCGGTGCTGATTCACTGCCAAGCCCTCAAAGCTTGCTGCGTGCAGGCAGGCGCGACACACCGGCTGGTGCTTGGTGGTGCGACGAGGAAGCCCCTCACATCTCCCCTCGAGGATGACCAGCACGCCCATGGTTGAGCCCCGAAAGAGCGACCCGGGCCATGGTACCACCAGCAGCAGCAATGGGCACCTCCGCCCCGACGCCGCCGCCCAGGGGAGCAGCCAGACCTCGCAGGCCTCGACGCTGAACTCGTCCCACTCCAACGGCCACCGCCTGCTGCCCTCGCCCATTCCGCCCCCGACCGCCTCGTCCCTCACCTCGACCCAGCGCCCCCAGTCGCGAGTCAGCGCCGTCTCCGGCAACTCCAAGGACAGTCACGACGGCCTGCCCCCCGTCCGCAAGAGCCACTCGCAGTCGATATCCAGCACTCCTCGCACGCTGGCGTCCTCTAACCGGAGCATAACCGCGAGCGCGGAGAACAGGGAGAGGCAGCGTGCCGTCCGCTCACTCCCGCCCTGGGTCCAGTCCGCCGACGACGAAGACGAGAATGTAGACGCCTCCTCGCTCCTCCTACCACGCACGCCCACCAACGTCCGCCATGCCAACCACAACTTCTGCCCGACGCCCAAGTCCAGCGTGCCAGGCCGCAAATTCGACCACGCTCGCGAGGGCGCCCCCGTGACCCTCTCGACGCCCGTCAGTGATAGCGCACCCAAGTGGAAGCAGTTCACGCAGGCCTCCAACCACGACCGCCCCATCTCCTCGCGCGGCCAGATCGTCGACGATGACTGGCTCAAGGAGAACATGCCCGATCTCGAGCAGAAGTGGGAGCCCATCGACAACGGCCTCGGCGACGAGCACATCAAGGGCTTCTGGCTCTTCACCTCGGAGAAGAGGAAGCGCCGCCTGATGCGCTTCCACAACACCATCATGAACCACCCCATGGTTCCCGCCTTGGTCCGCGCCATTGTCCTCGTCTTCTCCATCCTCGCCCTCTCCCTCGCATGCTCCATCTACCGCCACTCGGACAACAACGGCTGCAGCAACAACTCGTCTACCTGGATGGCCATACTCGTCGACATCGTAGCCGTCCTATACACCATCTACATCACCTACGACGAATACACTTCCAAGCCCCTCGGCCTACGCTCGCCCAATGCCAAAATGTCGCTGATCTTTCTCGATCTGGCCTTCATCGTCTTCGAGTCGGCGAACCTTAGTTTGGCTTTCCAGGCCCTGACGGACGACAAATGGGCATGCGTTGAGTCGGACAGGACGAATGCTTGTCCGTATCGACAGAGCATTTGCGAGAGGCAGAAGGGCTTGACAGCGACTCTGTTGATTGCGCTGCTCGCATGGATTGCCACCTTTTCCATCAGCACGCTGAGGTAAGTTTACTCGAGCAACGACATGCCTACGTTCTTTACTAATCCACCACAGGTTGATCCACCGTGTAGCGAGGTAGTGCCTCAAACACCTCATACACTCTCCCACACTCCCTCGGCCCTTCCACCACGCCACCTATATCCCCACACTACATTCCGACCCTTCAGCTTGACTGATCCACCTTTTGCATAGTACCAAGGAGCACGACCACCTCTTACACATGTCGGCCTTGTCCCCCCGGCGGCGATACCCTCTCCATTCGCACTCTCTCCGTTTTCCTAGTCGACTCCGTTCTCGCACCCCCTCCGTTAGGTCCTTTTACTCTTGAAAGCTATGCATAGCTGCGGCGTTTTGGGTTTCCTTGTCCCTGCATATTCCCTCAATCGACGATTTCCCCAAACCAGTTGTTTTCTCTTTTTTTCTTATACACTTTGGGGCTTTCTTCGTGCCACTTTAGGGTTGACTGGGTGTACATAGGGTGTTGTTTTGAGGACTTGGGACGGCCTAGAGGCAATAGCATAGTACAGAGTGATTAGTATAATCCACAAAATCAATGAAACAGGTCAAACACTCATTTGCAGAAGATATCCTACTTGTGATGGAAGGCTGTATGTTCCCCACACGATTGTAGGCTTCTGGCTATATTGCTTTTTAGCCGAGATCTTACTTCATGACCGTGCTCAATTCAGCCACTATGCCAATCTAAGCAGAATGTCCCAAATGTTCAAATCCCAGTCCAGCAAACCCATCCATCCGCCCATAGCTCCATGCCTTAGCACCCTCACATACAGCTAAACCCCCCATCAACCGGCAGCCCAATACCCGTGACCCACGCCGCATCCTCACTAGCCAAGAACACCGCCGCCCTCGCAATATCCTGCGGCGTACCCAGTCCACCAAACGGATGTCTTGTCTCGACCTCTTTCTTCGAATCCGCTGCTTCAGGCGTGAGTAGCGAGGATATAAAGGCCGTAGCTGTGTAACCGGGACAGAGAGCGTTGACATGGATACGATAGGGCGCGCAGTCCAGCGCAGCAGACTTTGTGAGACCCATTACCGCATGTTTGGAGGCCGCGTAGCCCGCTAGTAGAATGTCAGCTTTCCGTCTATTCACAGACTCAACGTCGCATGTTCAACAAGGACAAAAACGGAACGAAAGAACTTACAGGTCCCCGAAGTCCCCCTCAACCCATAAACACTACTCAAATTAATAATCCAGCCTCTATCCCCCCTCTCCCCCGGTTCCTGCCCCACCATCTGCCTACTCGCGTACTTCGTCCCGAGGAAAACCCCCTTGATATTAACATCGACGGTGCGCTCAAACGCCGCTTCTTCGTATTCCCACACAGGCCGACTGCCATGCTCACCCGTCTCCATGCTAATCCCCGCGTTGTTCACCATAATGTCGATTCTGCCGTACTCTTGCACTGCGGTCTGGATCAGGGCTTGGATGTCGGTTGAGGAGGTGGTGTCGCATTTTACGAAGAGGGCTTTTGCGCCGAGGGCGTGGGCGGCGGCGACGGTGGTGGTGCTGGGGGAGGTGTCTGTGGCGTATTCTGATCGCGGCGTTTCGGTTATGTCGGAGCAGATTAGGGAGGCGCCTTCTGAGGCGAAGGCTAGGGCTGTGGCGCGGCCGATGCCTGAGGAGGAGCCGGTTATTACGGCGATTTTGTTTTGGAGGCGGGGTGGCATCGTGGAGAGTGTGGTGGTAGATGTGTTTGAAGTTGTGGTGAGGTTGGCAGGTGACGATAGTTTTGGTTATCTGTGTTTGCTGTGGGATAAATTGGTGTATTGTAGGAAGAGGAAGAGACTTGAAGTAGACAGGAAGAAGAAGAGAAAGAAGAATAAAGACAAGTAGAAGTAAAGTCGAAGTGATAGTAAGACAAGTACATATACTAGACTGCCCAAGTCACTATCAAGCGAACGGGCGTATCTAGTGAGGGGTTAACTAATGCGGAGAAAGTACATCCTCGGCCATTGAATAAGATTAGGCAGACAAGCTGCTCGCAATTCCTTCACTGGTGGGTCTCGATGTAATTGGATTGAGGTGAGACACCTGATTCAGCGTCGATCGTAGTCCAGGGCGTAAAGTGACAGCTCAATCCATTCCGCGCAGAGGTCGCGTGAAAAGTAGCGCGGAATGTGGCGTTTGCTATTGGGCTGATATGCTCCATGTAAGGGTTGAGTATTCGTCCGTCTGATGGATCCAGGGAAGTGGATCTTTGTACTATGCATGTACGCATGCGCATGTATCCGTAAGTAGCAAATGGCATGAGGTTGGCTCTTTCCCCAGTACTGGTAGTTGCCGAGGTCCTAGACTGGGGAAGGCATGGCAGAATACGACTCAGGATAGGCCAGAGGTCTAGATTGAGTACCATAAAGGATCAGGTTAGCGATTTACATGGCATTGTAGAGCTGTCGGAAGCTGGCATGCAGCAATGGATGGTGGGGTCGTGGGGTAATCCGGAAAGCGCGTTGCCCGACAGGGATCACCCGAGTAGCCTCACATGCACGTCATAATGTAGATTTGCTTCACGCGACAACACAACATACTCGCAACCCGATTTTTTATACATCTTAACTTGGAATCACACAGATATCTGATACGAGATGTCAGCACAGCCCAACAAAGATGAGCCCTTCCCATGGCACCTCGAAGTCTACGACGCACACTGCCACCCCACAGACACCATGTCAAGCATCGAGACCATCCAAAACATGAAAGCGCGCATCCTCACCGTCATGGCAACCAGAGCCGAAGACCAAGACCTCGTCTTAGCCACCGCAAACAAGCACAGCATCCGATCGGCCAACCCATCCCAATGGACAAAAGAAGAATGCATCGTCCCCTGCTTCGGCTGGCACCCGTGGTTCTCCTATCAAATGTACATCTCCTCGCCTGACTCCAAAGGCGAAGATGAACAACAAGACCAAGGTCCCCTAACCGGCCAAGCCAAAATAACCCACTACCAATCCGTCCTGCAACCCCACCGCCCGGACCCCAGCCCCTCAGACCTCCAAACCTACGCCTCTCTCCCCGACCCCACACCCTTCTCCACCTTCCTCGCCCTCACACGCCAACACCTCCTCCAACACCCCTTCGCCCTAATCGGCGAAATCGGACTCGACCGCTCCTTCCGCATCCCGGAGTCCTGGACCGGCAACCCCGATCTGTGGGCAAAGCGCAACAGTAATCTCACGCCTGGAGGCCGCGAAGGAAGGCGGTTGACGCCTTTCCGATGTAGTCCTGCGCACCAGAAGGTTGTTTTTAGAAAACAGCTTGATCTTGCGGCGGAGATGGGCAGGGCGGTTAGTGTGCATGGGGTGCAGGCTCATGGGCTGGTTTTGGAGGTGCTGGCTGAGACGTGGAAGGGGTGCGAGAGGCTGGTTTTGAGTAAGAGGGAGAGGAAGAAGAGGGGGAGGGATCATCCGGGTGCGGAGGCGGCGTTGGAGGCTGATGAGGCGGGTGATGGCGATGCCGATGGTGTTGCTGCTGCAAAAGACGACAGCCCGAAACCGTACCCGCCGCGCATATGTCTGCATTCATATTCAGGTTCTCCGTCGAATTTTGCGCAGTACTTACGCCCGGAGATTCCTTGTAAGATCTTTGCTTCATTTAGTACGGCGATTAACCTGTCGGATGCGTTGGATGATGAGGAGACGCCGCAGGCCTTCCAAGATATTATTGAGACGGTGCCGGATGATATGTTGCTTGTGGAGAGTGATTTGCATACTGCGGGGGATGAGATGGATAGGAGGTTGGAAGACATCATACGGAGGATATGTGGGATCAAAGGATGGGGTTTGGAGGAGGGTGTCAAGAGGCTGGGGAGCAATTGGAAGGCCTTTGTTTTCGGTGAGGGCTGATGTGCTTCAATACATTTTTGAGAGTTGTATATATTTCCATGAGGAGGCGGGGAAGTGTTCAGTCAGATCTGCTGTTATGGCCATTGAGGTCACGAGATGCTGAAGTACACCTGGCCTGTTCATCAGGGTTCTGTACAAACTCTGTTGATGTGATGTAGCCATTATAGATCACTCAAAATTCAGATGTTTTGGGCAAATTTCATCATATTTTGCCATCGAGACCAGCTATTAGGTAGATCTAGCAGTCATATCCGTATCATCTCAACCCATTACACACCAGTATCATCCCGTCTCATCTCATAGCAGATCACTTCAACCACCTTACTGCTCAACAACCTGAGCCTGAGTGCCAGACAATGCCATGGCGGCGGCCAGATCCTCTTTGAACCCCACCTGAGGACCCACATCGTCATCCTCGAAGTATTCGCCGTACATGTCTGTCCACATTGTGACACGCTTGTGTACCTCGTCGTACTTCCAATTGCCGTAGTAAACCTCGTTGATCTTGTTGTCTGGGTGGTACCACGACAGCTCACGCAAAGCCTCCGGGCCGCGCCAACCAGGGATGTGCTCGCCGGTGTACATCTTCCGAGTCCGAATCGTCTTCAAGTTGGGCAGCTTGGCGAGTAGGAGGCCTGTTCAAGAGTTAGCCGTGTTACTCTTGCATAACCCAGGAGTAATTCGCGGAGTTTCGGATGGGTAGGGGCTTACTGAGCATAGTACGGTATCTGCCAGTGTGACAGAATGCGTCGTTGATCCGGTTCCAGCGTTCGTGCGCGTTGTCGGCGTACTCCAATATGTCTGCATCGTCGGACCACTGCTCGTAGGTTCGCTCTGGCATGCCGGGGATCTCGACCTTGTCGAAGTATCTCCAAAGGTAGCTGTAGCTGTACTCCGGGGCCGCCGGTCCCTCGCTCACCAAGGTGATTGTTCGAACTGCGTCAGGGTACGCTCCATCCAACCCAAGCCCAATGAACAACGCTGCAACGCTCGCAAAAGTAGGAAAAACAGTGACGTTCGCAGTAACTGAAATTCTCTTACCGTACACAACATCCACTGCTTTCTTGAAGCGCTTGTTGATCAAACGTACTTTGCTCAAGTCTGTGATGTCCAGATGACTGCCAATCTCGCCAATCATCTCAAGAGGAAAGTTGGAGAGACCCTAAGTTTGTGGTGAACCATGATTCTCCGATACACAAGGAATGAGGATACGGAAGGATCGACGTAGAAGGTAGGAGAAGGAAAGGAAGATAAAGAAAGAACTGATGAACTTACCTCGGTGGAAGCGGTAGTAGTGGTGGCATCGGCGACCTTCCTATTCTTGGAGGGGGGCGACTTGGTAGCAGGCCAAGTGCAAGGGTTGATGCCGAGGTCTGTACATGTCAGCATGCGCTGAAGCATCCAAGATGCAACAGATCTGACCTTCAATGGTCAAACCAAGCTTCTTGAGGTCTTTGCCAAATTCTGAAATGAAATCTAAAGCTGTTAGCATAGTCTAAACAGCTTTGTGTGTAAAGTGAGCTTGCCTTCGAGCTGGGTACTGATGAGCGCGTTCAGAGCGACTTTGGCCTTCGTAGTAAGGACTTCTTCGACTCTGGCAGCTGCAGCAGCGCTGTTGGCGAAACTTCGAGCGTCATCGGAAACTCTAGTAGCCTGAACAACAACTTGCATAGCCGATGTTAGGGCCGTGTTCTCAAAGGCGAATGACGCATCACCAGCGAACAGAGATGTTGATGTTCCGGACATCGTGAGGCAAGGTATCTCAAGGTATGGGTAGGAGCAAGGACGGTGGGAGCTGTCAAAGGCAAAGCTTTGATCAAAGTAGACGAAGTGTCAACTCAAGGGTGGGGTGGGGTGAGGAGGTAGAGGGAGACGCGGGGAGCAAGCCTTTATATAGCAGAGATTTGAGCAGCTCAAGCTCGGGCCCAAGACGCGTCTCGCGTGCTCCAGGCAGCTTTGTTGACACAGGTGAACGTGAGAGGCGTTTACCAAAACAAGAGACGCGTGGTGAGGAGCGGGAGCGCGGGCGGTGAACGCAGTGCGGAGGCCGAATCGGGGTTCACCGGGAGCGAGAGGACGGGTATGTTGGCAAGCGAGAACATCAAAAGCCTCGTGGAATGCATCGGTAGCTGTTTACGTTTGGATGCGATGCCGGCGTTGCCCAAACACCCGGCGGCGTTGGCATGGTTTTGAAGGGAAGTGAGACGCTGAGCAGTATGACCGCTTGTGCCAATTGCGACACGACTGTGGCAGGAAAAGGTTGCATCGAGTACTGCACTTGCACTTGAGTGCATCGCGATCTTGCTTCGTAGCCGCCATGGCTTGGATGGTCGAAGTGGCCACCGAAGCCGGAGCAAGAACAAACGCACACACCGTATGTCCTCAGTGAGCATCCTCAGTATGCAAACCAGTGATACGGCGCACATGAGTAGATCGCTTGGACATGGACAGTTAAGTGGATTAGTGTACTTCGCCAGGCCTGGCCACATCCTGCTGGTATTTCACAATCTCCGCTCCGGAGCCTGCAAAGCACAACATTCGATGAAGAAAGACGGGAGAAAAGGAAGACGCAATGCAAGGTAACTAGGATGCGATAAAAATGAAATGTGAAGAATGCACCTACCTTTACGGCCCGCCATACTGTGTTAAACTGCATGTTAGTCTTCAGTACAACTTCCGTGCTCGAAGGATCAATGGCATTATAAGTTCTTTTTCGAGTACGACGAGCATGGCCAAGCGACTGACGAGATAAGAAAGAGGATTTGGCAATATTGGGATGGGCGATTACCATCGCAGCGACAGATTCGAAGTTGGAGGAGAAGGAAGAGTGGTGACAATCGGACGTCTGACGAGGCACGAGATGGCCACGACGCTAATGACTAAACTGCCCTTCGGAACATTGCGCAGGCACGACATAGTACCAGTAGTGCCTCTTGTTATTATCAAGTGACATGCATTGGCTTTAGTCGTATAGGCAGAAGCAGATTCGCGGTAGTCCTTTCAAAGTAGAAGACGAGCGCAAGGTCCAAGGCCTAGTCCCTCGATCGAGATACACACCAGAACAAGCGAGATACCATATATTTACTTCGTTGAAACGAACGCTATAGATCGCTGCATCAAATTGCCGCTCTTATAACTGTGCGAACACTAGTATCCTCTATGCCTTGCCATAGTCGTTACTCTTTCATTCCTTCCCAACACCCTCCTTGTCTTTCTCCGCATCAAAGAACAAGCTTCTCCTCTTGACATCCGGCGGCGGCGGACTAGCCGGGGTATCACCAACAACCGCCTCCTTGTCTCTCTTGAAGTCTTCCGCTCTCTTGAGATCACCCGGCGGAGGCGAAGATACGGGTGTCTTTGTCCCCCATCCTTTCCTCTTCTCGCTCGCCCATGTGCCCCAGCTGGAGAAGTATGCGCCCGCGCTGGCTTTTGCGTTCGTGAGGTCGGGGGCTTGAGGAGCTTTCCCTGTTCAATTATCAGCATTGATGTTCCAGTAAAAGCGGCATATCTGACTTACACTTCTTTGCATCATCGACGGGCCTCCCTTCTTTCTCAGCTTGCAATCGCGCTTCCTCGGCCCGTTTCCTCTGTGCCTCGCGCATGGCTTCCATCTCCGCCCACAGGCGGTTGTATGCAGAGCTGACCTTTTGTTGGCCCACAGCAAGCTGTTTACCCAAGACTTCTCGTGACTTTTCTAGTCGTTCGTCGAGATGCATTTCTGCTACCTGCCTAATCGCCAAGCGAGCATCAGCACACATACGCCAAGAGATACGGCTTGGAAGGTGGTGTTGGACAACAGACTAAGTGAGTGCTTTAGTCGGGCTGGTAGGGATATGTAAAGAATGCAGGAACGTACTGTGCTAGTCGGCGTTGAACGTCTTCCATTGAGAGACCGCCAGAGCAGGGGTGTTTGGGATCAACGATGTCGAAAAGGTGAGAATCGGTGAACTTGTTCCAGATGCGGAAGTTCTCAGTCTGCATCCAGGCGAGTACCCACTCATTTGAGAATTCGCTCGCTGGGTCTCCTTCTACTTCAGAAATCAAGTTCTCCTTGTGTGCGTTCTTTTCCATGTAAAGCTTGTACTTGACGGAGCTGAGCATGGCGAGAAGGTACTCTTCGAATTGCATGCGAATGAACTCCTCGCTGCCGGCGTATCCGTGGTCCTTGGGTCGTGCTGGGTCTGCCTCATCCCAGGTATCGTTGATCGTCTGTGTCAAGAAGTCCATCCATCTCCGGTCCGGCGTGGACAAGATCGATGCTTGTCGCAGCGCAGCTGAGGTGATGTTTACGGTGTGGTCATCGAGGTTGATGAGGATGTCGCTGTATCGATCTCTTTGCTGAAGCAGCAGCGAGTTCGTAGAGCCGACGATGTAGGACTTGGTATCTTGGTCTGCAAGTATATCAAGCTGCTGAAGCGGTGTGTATGGTCCGAACAGCGAGCCTGTACCGAAGAGTTGGAGCGGGAGACCCATGTATGCCAACACTGAATCTTGTCAGTATATCGCTTCTATGGATGAGATTATGCACTGACAGGAAGCGCGCTCCGATGTCTTTAATGAAGTGGGCATGACACACTTTTCCTCACACGAATTGAACTTGGGATCAGCAGCATCTTGTAGGTGGCGAATAAGGCCGGGTATCAGTGAAATAAGAGCAAATTGCATCATGCATAATCGTTCGCAATGGGAGCCGAAGAAGAGGACCTGCATTCTGTCAGTGATCCCTCATGTTCGTGGCACGATACTCCAGCTTTAAGTGGATGAAACGTACCTTCGGCTGAAGCAGCGCGCATTTGAAAAGAACCAAAGTCTGCCATTTGAACTCGTGGATTAACTCGCGCAGAGAAATACCGAAGTAATGGTCCTGCTGCCCCTCCTGATTCTTAAGCAGTTGGGGTAGGCTTTCCGTAAAGCGCTCCAATATCTCGATATCGGTGAAGTCTCTGAAGAAGTGTGAGTTTCACGTCGCCTTCGACTTGCACTACGAGAGCCCAACGTACTTCTGATTGAACCACAGCTGGGTCACAACGCCCAGCTGCGCTTTTATAGCCCCAAAATGCTGCGGGCTGTCGCTGATGACAACGACAGCCTTTTGCACCGTACTCCTTGTAACTTCAGCCGGCCGATCGATAAGCTTGCTTGCGTCGAGCTGTCGCGTACACGATATTCCGAAGAGTGAGGTAGCGGGTGAGGTCGGGGTCTGAGCGCGGCGGAGCGTAAAGTACGAGTAGTCTTCGGCAGAGGCATGCGCGCCATCGCTCAGGGCCATGAAGGGCAGCAGCGACCAGTCGTTGTCTACTGCTGGGTCGGTTCCCTCTTCTGCCCCGAGCCATGTTTCCACTTCTGGGCCTCTGCGTTGAATAGTCAGCGATTCGTTCGCATCAGATAGCCATCAATATATCGTGAGTTGTCCAGTATCCGTCCTCCGTCTCTTTCTGTACTCACACCTCTACTGGTAAAGGAGAAGCTTACCGCGCATGGTGGAAGTCCACGACGCAGACAAGTGGGTTGAGAGTCGCCATTGTCGTGCGATGGAAGTGCTATCGCATAGCATTCAGTTTATATCCAAACAAAGGTTGTAGGGCCATAGGGGCCAGGCTCGCGTCCTCGAGTCGTTGCAGACGCGCTCAGAGCGGTGACGAAACAGCGGTCCCACGGTCCCTCAATCAGCCTTATGGCGCTAGTGGAAGCCTCGGCGATCTCCACCCGTTCCCAGGTTGGGGAGTACGCCCGAGATCCTCCGCCACGGATACCAGCGAGGATCTGGAGAACTCTCTGATCTCCCCTGTACATCATGCAGTCTTGATCTTCAGTACCTGCGATGCCATGCCCGTTAGCGACGAATGCTGTCATCGCATTGAAGCACAATATAATCAGACATGTTCATGGTGTCAAAGTGAAGAATAACGTATGTTTGATAATATGATTTCACATTCCTACCTAGGTCGACCATAGCCTTCAATTCCTCCATAACATTCCTTTCGTGTACCAGCCATGGTGATCCAAATGACAAAGACAAGCCCATGCCCCATCTACCGCGCACCTTCATGTCACACAGGTCCAACAGACGAGACCTTGGGAATCATTGGGAACAGCAACTCCGCCTGCGCCAGGCAGATGATACGTCGAGCCTCGGCAACTGCATACTTTGTTGTCGTGGAGACTGAAAATTGTTGTAGCTCGAGATTGGTAGACATTATGTGTATTTAGCTGCCGTTGTTCTCCTCCTGTGCCGCCGCATCTACGTTGTGGTAGTCCAGGATTTCAGAGTACCTGTGTTGTGTTAGCTCCGTTTACGTGATGCACGGGGAGTACACGTACATCATGATTTTCCAGGTGTCGACGGGTAGGTCTGCGTCGTTGAACGACCAGTCAAACTTCTCCTCCGCGACTGGCTCATCAGTCGGGTCGTGGTATGGAGCGAGGTATGGGTGAGCAAGGGCCTGCTCCGCTCGCACACGCTTCTTCGGGTCAAAGACCAACATGTTCTCTAGGAGATCGACGGCTAAATTGTGTTAGTCCACGCTCTCTTCATTAGAGATGCAGACTGACCTTGAGGCTCGGCGTTCTTGAACTTGTTGGAGAGGGGTTGTCGTTCGCGCTTGGGAAGTGACTGGACGAATCGCAGTGTCTGCGGAAGTCAGCAAAGTTGCTTCCAAGGTTTTTGTGCATCTACTTACGTTTTCACTGCAAATGGTCTGGATCACATCGTCTGGGGGAGTACCCAGAAGCTCGGTGATGATGGA